TTAAATAAAATCACAACATAAACCGGTGGCGTTCACAAACCATTCCGTTTACCATAAATAGAGTGACGGGTAATATTAATTGGATATTATATCCCTTTTTTGACACGCTTGTTACATATATATAATACGTTGTATTTATTAAGATATAAATTTACAACTAAAACGGTCAAAGTTAAATATATTAAAAAAAAAGAAAAAAACATTGAAAATAAACATAACTCTTTTTAGGATAAACAAATAAGAAAATAATTCACGTGAGTGCGCAATTAATTATATTACATTTCTATGCCATGTCACAAAAATAGTCTTTAATCTGTCCTCTTTTACGAAAGAGAAATAAATAACGACGGTGTTTGTTAATAAATTACGGACAAATACGCGCGTTTAAAATATAAATTCGAAGCAGTTTAGAAAAATGTCAAGTCTATGTACATTCACGAGCCTATTAAATGTGTCACATTTCAGTAAAAAAATAATCAAGTGGATCTTGTGTGTTCTTACATGCTCTATGCATAGAAGAAAATTAAAGGACTTTTTTAAAAATTGGTTTATGTGATATAATAATTCCCGTTAATAATTTAAGTTACCATGTGGATGATAAAAGTATGCAGACAATTTTCCGTTTAACGATATGTGTCGAATTTTGAACTATAGATTGTTTATTTATTGTTTACGAAAAAAATAAAGTAATTGAGGTTTGATTTATTTAAACTGTAATGGATCATCGTCCCACAGACGTACATATAATCTGATCACTAAATTGAGATCAAGTTAAAAAGAGGCGGTGCAAGAATGGGCTCTTTCTGTCTCATTCTAGATGGCTGTGTAGAGTCCTGCACCTTTAATTTATACCCATTTAATTTTTAAATTAGTCTCATTAAAAAAATATACACCACACGTCACAGACTATTTTGAAGTTTAAGGCATCTATTTTATATCGAACATGGGACAAGTTCTAAAATTAAGATTACCTAATGCCATCATAAAATTCTTATTATGATAGTATTGACATGAAATGATACTAAAAATGTAGTTTAACCGTCTATAAAAAACAAAATAAAAATTAAATTATACACAATGAATACGCAGTACTTAAAATTACAACACGCCCAAAGTAAAAGAAAATTGGCAAATAACATATTCCTTTGAATTCGCCATTAATTTTTGTTACGTATCTCCTTAATTGTTCCGGAAAAAAAAACAATATATTATGTTAAACTGACAAAATGACAATTGGACACCAACATTAAAATTAATGATTATGTCATTATGCACCAATGAAATTTTTAAACGCAATTCTAAGTCCTGATTTACCATTCGAATTATTTATATTAGACAGTGAAAACGTTGTGATGAAACTTGTATACAAGTTTCTACATAACAATATTTTAAATATATTTTATATAATTTGGAAGATGCGAACATTCCTCTAATTTGCTAATTGAATGAGTTTAGTCATCAGATAAATTTAAGAAAACCACTTATTTATTTATTATTGTAATTCATTCGATATGAATTATGTTTAAAAGAGTTTACTTCGACCAACAGTTCAATGTCTACATATCGATGGTCCCTAGGTAAAGTATCGAATCTACAAAATTGCATTTTTTTTATTGCTGTTTTGTGATCTCAATAATAGTAATTTTGAGACAAGGTTTTCAAAAATTTTAAAAAATAATTGTGTATGCGTTTTTTAGAAACGTATAATAACGAAACGTAACAGTCTATCCGGCGTAAAACAACGAATGTTAACTTTCGCGAGACTACGCTGCATCGGCGAGTGTGCGACAAGGACGGAACTACCACTATCGCTAGTTTACGCCGCAGTTTATGCGCGCCCGGCGTTGAAAAGTTTTATAGCTATTTTGTTCATGTTTTTTAAAAACTTTATTACTAAAATACTGTATGATGAAAAAGTTACCCTTTAAAATGTTTTCAAGATCGAGGAGAATTGTTGATTTAGCGCAAATAAACAATGATAATGAACAAAAACAAAACTTTGAAACAGAATCAGCTATTTTAAATCCAGGTAAGTTTTAATACTTTAAAAATTTTTATTTTACTAACACGTCATTTTAACATTAATAAATAAGACTACTTTTGATTTAAAATTATAGTTTAGGTAAATAAGTTTATATTACTAATCATACTTGGTATTTTCTTGCATTATAAATATTTCCCGCGTAATATATCGGATCGGGTAGATTCGATTGTTTATGACGGATTGTCATTTGCTAATAGTATCGAAAGTACCGGTTTAGATTATATACGTGGTTTTTTCATAATGTATTTCCATCGAAACTGACGGTTACGATACTTTACGTTGTATTGCATAGTCTAATTCCGATTGAAAATTTTTTAATGATATTTTAACTATTTTTTATTTAATGTACCTACTTACCTACTGTTTTTTAGAGTCACCGGTACCCACCAATTGCGTCTTCAATGAATCCGATTGGAATAATTTAAAGGAGTTGGTGGACGATGAACTCTCCTCGGATAGAAATGCTTTTCGCTATGGCTATCAGCCGTTTAGCTCAGTGGCTAGAGCGTCAGGCCGCGAATGCCGAAGACGTGGGTTCGATTCCCACAGCGGCGATAATCTTTTCGTACTTTTTCTACATGTTTAATGTTCAATCTTAAGTGCAGAGATTAGCACTATAAAAAACTTTAAAAAAATAAACAGCTAGAGAGTTAAAAAATAATGACAAAGAGCAGTCTAGAGAATCACCTGATATTGTATGTGCTACATTTGACTTTCAAAAAATTTCAACTTGTCCTCATGGAGACGTTGGTTAGTTTTATTATAAGCGTAAACTTTCTGTATTTAACTTCACTGTTTTCGATTTAGCTTTAAAAGAAGGTACCGGTAAAAGAGGAGCTAACGTGAAGTAGCTGTTTGAAGCGTTTTGTAAACGCAAAGATACATCAGGGTGCTAAGAAATTCTTATTTTGGTCAGATAATTCTGCGGGCCAGAATAGGAATAGAGTCGTCTATTCGTTATACATGTACTTGTCAAAACGATTCGGCGTAGATATTACACATCGCTTTTTAGAGCAAGGTCATACTCAGAACGAAGGCGATAGTGTACACGCCCTCATTGAGAGAGAATCTAAGAGAAAACTAATTTACACTCCTGACCAATGGTATGCATTAGTACGACGGGCAAAGGCTGAAGGGAAACCATACAACGTCGTAGAAGTGACCAAGAGTGATCTTTATGATTTTAAATTCTTGTTAGACGACAAAAATTGGAAAAAAGACAATAGAAATGAAAATGTGAAGTGGAACAGCATTAAAGAAGTTAGTGTAAGAAAAGAGGAACCAGATTGTCTGTATTTTAAATATGATTTTAAGGGTGATCATTTTTGTGTTAATACTAGTATAGAAACAAGAAGCCGCAAAAAGAGAGTGTGTCAGCCTACGATGTTAAAAAATCTTTATTCGGATTCACTAGCTTTGCCAGTAGCGAAGTATAAAGACTTGATTACTTTATGTCGTTCAGGAGCAATACCCAAAGAATAACATAGGTTTTACGAAAACTTAAAATATTCTACAGTCGCAGAAAAATCTGAAAATCTTGATGAGTCTGATGAGTAATATTTATTTACTATAATTTTTCTTTTTTCTATATATCTAAATACTACAATATTTTTGGTAAGACAGAAGTACTATAACGTATATTCCCAAAGAGGTCCTACATTTTTGTTTGTTTCATAGATTTTAAAATTTATTTTAAAGTATCATATTATATATTTTTATTATAATTTGCATCTATTTTGTGAAAGTTATTTTTATTAATTATTAATTTAGGTTAATTTTAAGGAGGTTAATTTTATTTTTGTCTCCATGGATTTCAGGACTATTATTTCTAAAGGAGTATTACCATTTTTGTTTTGTTTATGTAATGTGTTTTAATTGTGATCTCATTCTAAAAACTTCCTAATATTTTTGCTTAATAAGTACCTACTCACAGTTTGTACTTTTAATAACTTAGGTAATACATTAAAATGTCATTTCCGAGACCTCATTTATTATTAGGTAAGGTAACAGACTAATTTTAAATACTTGTTGCCATATTTATATTAACAATTTATGCATATTTTTTAATTTGTAATACATTTATTTTAATAAAAATGTTTTATGTCATTTATTTTCTTGTTATTCTATCACAAATTAATTGTAAGTGCAAGCAAATCTACGACGTAAATAATCGAATGTGACACTTTCAATAAAATATTCCTAACATAAACCAACGTAGAATATCGAAATCGGCAGATTCGATACATTTGTGTATATGCGGTTCCTTTTAAATAATCGAGAGTGACAGTTTCGATTCATAAAGCAAGTTCAGTTACATTGTATACTATCGTAGCTTACTGTTCTAGAAAACTATTTATAATTATCGATTTTTGCAATGACGTAATAGTTAATAAGCCCAATACAACTGTGAATCCAAATTTTCATGAAGTTCTTATCATGAATGACGAAGTTATGCAAAAAATAAACTTTAAATCGCTCTCCTGAAAAGTAGCATTTTTCACTTTCGATACTTTACCTAGGGACCATCGATATATGCATTGTGATACCAAAGAGTTAAAACCACAAAAACTAATGTTGATTATTCCTAAAGCCAGTACTGACTGCGTTTATTTGAACATCGCAAATTTCCATCGTAACACCAATTGCAGCAGCCCACTAACACAAAATGCCTTCACATACGTAGATAACAAGTTTGACACTATACAACACAGTTCCGTTTCACTAAGACTAGCTTTGAAAGCGACTTATCTTCGAGCCCACTGCATTTCAGGATACACAATTTAATACGTCCAACACATCAGGGAACCGTAGCTACCGTTTTGAACGGCACAGATAATAAATACTTCATTTAGAGATCCATATAATTATCTTATATGACCAGATTATGCATAACCATTCACTGTCCCATGTCATGCCTTAATAAGCCTTATGACTTTCTTGATAAAGGCTAATATCATATGGTCTCGACGATTCCCTTTCTTTTGTAGCGCGGGACCTCGCCGGAAATGAAGGATGTCTCTTCGGACGATGTAGTTATCACCTTCTGGCCTTGGCTCGATGTGCTCGGTTGGCTCTGAAAGTGATAAACGAATGTTATAAATATTGCTATGCAATTATTTGTTCCAATAAAACCGTAAACAATAACTGCAAAAGAAACAAGTTTATTTTTATTCAATATCATCACAGAGGATAAAATATACGTCAATTCTTGTAGACCACAAATGTGTAGAAAAAAAAATTGCTCCAAATGTGAAAACAGAGTTGTCGTTGTAACCATGACGACATAGCCTGTGCAACGCTTAGAGATTGCGATTGGGCGATTGACAAAGCAAAAAGTAAAAAAGCTCCGAGGGCAGAATATACTCGTACCACGCGGCTTTGACGTCACTGCTCATGCAATCGCTTGTGTTTAAAAATGTGTGGAAAATTTCGGTCCGGGATACGCGTTCAGAGGAGGTAGGGACAAAAGCGGGTGTTCCCAACCTTTTGAGAGAGGTACCGCCAACCTTTCAGAGGCGGGTGGTGCCAACCTTCAAGCGGAAGTTCTAAGCAACGAAGCGGGTGTTGCCAACCTTTTAAGAGAGGGAGAAATGCAGGTGTTGGCAACCTTTGACAACTTTTCTTTTCGACGGAGGGGGGTTCAAACTCCCAAAAGCAGGTGTTGGCAACCTTTCAGGTGTTGATATTTACCTGTGGCGCACAGACTGGCGTGGCGGCCGCTGCCATATTTCTCCGGATATCTTCAAGCGGTATCTCTTCGGAACGCGCCCGTGGAGAACCCTCACGGGAGCCCTGAGAGCTGCCGCCTCTCGACACGCTACTGAAAGTTATGAAGCTGATAATAATATCAGTAACGGCTCCATTTTAAAAAGTAAATATAAATGGATAGAATTAAAAGGATATCGATTGTAATACGTATCGGGCTGATCTAGATGATATGTCATGGTGATATACTGGCATCAATAAGTACTTTTTACGACGTAGGCATCCATTAAAAGGGGATGTTTAAAATAGAGGATCCACCATTTCATAAGGTATATCATCTTGTCTAAGTTTTGAAATATACGCAGTTCGTCCACGTCAGTGGTTTAATTTTCATACATTTGTAGATTTAGAAAAACAAACGTTTTTGTAACGTTTGTTTAAGTTTAGCTCTAGTTTAATTTTAAGTTTAGCTCATTGTATAGGCCACATTTTAATAAAATAGTATTCAGACAATTAATAAACCCACGATCACCTGAAAACTCGACAAAAAGCTTTGTATTACAGCTGAATACAAAAATGCACACGAAGAGATGGAAATTAGAATGAAATAAGAAAAAAGTTAGCTAAATATAGCAATCCAACTGGCGGGCCACCTGATGTTAAGTGATTATCACCCATGGACATCACCGACACCCGTGCAGTTGCATATGCGTTGCCAACGTTCTAATATAGTGGGCCCCAGCTACCTCACCCACGAGGGAATACGCGGATATATTGTCCACTTCACGCCGGCCATCTGTGAGGCCGTGAGGTAGCTTTCGTAGCCCTACCGCAGGTAAAGAGTTAATAATTAAGTAAAATAATAGTCTTCGTACTTTAGCGCATAGTCTGGTGAACGAGATAAGCTTAGGTCGATACTGTCATTTTTTTTTCTGTGCCACTTTGTGGCAAACGTGCTAGCGGTTCACCAGATGTTAAGTGATAACCGCCGTCCATGGACATTTGCAACACCAGTAGGGTTGCTGAACGGTTGCGACCTTTAAATAAAGTGGGCCCTGGCTACCTCACTCACCAGACGAAAAGTGTAACACTAAGGAATAAGTCTCCAAAATCTCTAGTATCGATGATCGACACTATCAGATTAACTTAGTCAAAGTGTAATGAAACAAACGGTCTTGGATTTTTTTTTTTTGCTTCTGATCTATACGATATTTAAAATTTATTAGAAAAATGCATGAGCAAATAATAGAGAACAATAATGGGATAAAAAGTTCCTAAAGGAACCTAAAATGACCCACCCAAACAGTCACTTGTATATGGAGGAGAACGTCGTGTGGTCACGATCCTCAGCATTGAACGAACGAGCAAGAAGAAGAACATTGTGTATGGAGGATGACAAAATATATTTAATCAACATTAAATTATACATCAACAATGTTGCAATATCGTACTAAATAACTGTTGATTAATTTCTTTGTTATGTTAACAGCAATATTTTGTACTTCGTCAATTCATAAACGTCAACGTTCCCCACACTATTTGGTTCTAAAAAGACATGCAAATTTTGTTTGTCTAAGAAAGAAAGTTCCCACTTGAAACTGCTTAGAATACCACCAGAGTATAAGATACAAGCGTATCCACCACCGTTCCCAAAGCACCACCACATTGAGGAGACAGTCAGACGGTCGAATACCTCTCTCTACTGCTCCTCTCCCGATACACCACTATTCCATCCTTCAGCACGTGGCCGCTCGGCCTTCGTATGCGTCGCTCGGTCTCTTCACCGTCCACACCTGGAATGTACATTCCGAATGGATTATTTATTTAATAAATGACGACCCATATGGCGTAGTGGTTAGTGTACCTGCCTCCTGCGCCAGAGGGTGTGGGTTCGATCCCCGGTACTGGAAAACTATTGTGTTTTATCTAGTGTCTGGGTGTTTTTATATAATATGTATTTGTTTCCAAAAAAAAGTTTTTTTAAGTATGTTTATCAGTTATCTAGTACCCATAGTACAAGAATTGCTTAGTTTGGTACTAGAGAACGTTGAGTAAAAATATTTATTTATTTATAATAATTAATTAAAGGAACGGAACGTAAGTGAATGTTTGAACGAGATAGGGAATGGGGGAGAGAGAAAGGGGACGAATGGTGGAGGACGTAGGCACGAACATTAGCGTAGCACGTTGTTTTTTTTTTATTGTAACCAGTTTGAAATAAAGTTTTTTTTTTTATATCATAACCGACACTCAATCTACTTCAAACCTCTTCATACCTTTTATTTTACATGTTTTGGTGTAGCTTTGTAAATATTTTTTTTTACAAATTGCCCTTTGGTACAACATTATCCTGTGTTGTAAAGACGTTCTACAAACAGAAATTACTTTTAGTCACAACGTTATCTGGAAGAGATCGCCCCTTAGAGATAAGGCCGCCTTATTGTTTCTACCTCATAAGTTTTTACTTTTGTAACATTTCCTTTTATGTTTTTATTGTGTTCAATAAAGCATATATAGTAATAATAATAATTTTCCCGTGGACAAACGCCCAGATGCGAAACAACTATCTGGGGGTGATACAAATAGTTGTTCCGTGTGCGAATCGATGCCAAGACCGCCGAAGCCAGTACAGTCATAAGCAAATAAATAAATGAATTAATTAATTTATGATTGAATGAATGAATAAATAGATAAATATAAGCACCTGACGTCCGTCGCACGGCCGAAAGGCCAGGCCTGGCGAAGAGTGGCCGATGCCTGGGCGCCATTGCGGGCGCCGAGATGCCAGACACCTCCAGCAGCCTGCCGATCTGCTGCATCTTCTTCTGGCGCGCCTTCGTCCGACCCTGGACAATGTCCATCCAACAACAACCATCCCGGGATGTAGCGTTCCGCGTCACGGTTCTACCAGGCTATGATTCGGGGGAGATTATCAGGAGGATCGGGAAAATGCGCCACAGTCCGCCCCTGGACAATGTCACGTTCCGAGATGTAGCGTCCTGCATCAAGGCGCATTACACACAAGGCTCTGCTATGGGATGATCCGGGGGAAGTTATCAGGAGGATCGGGAAAATACACTACGGTCCGCTACTGGTCAATGTACCGTTCTACCAAGGAGTGGTCCAGGGGAGATTATCAAGAGGACCGAGGAAATGGACAATGGACCGCCCCTGGCAATGTACCATCCCGTCTCGAAGTCAAGAGCGGTCATTCGGTTCCTACCGCGTAGTAGTGACGGCGCTTTACGCACGAGGTTGTACCATGGAATCATCCAGGTGAAATTATCAGGAGGATTAGGGTAATGCACCATGGTCCATCCCCGGACAATGTGCCATCCGAAAATTTACCATCCCGTGTCAAGGTCAATCGCGTTGGCTCAGTTTACACAACGTGGTTACGTTTAAAATCAAACATAAAAAAAACCTTCCAACTAAAATGAGATCCTCCTCCTTTTTGAAGTCGGTTAAAGACATTTCACTCGTTTCTTTTTACCGACGAAGGCCGTATTGCGAGGGCCACTTGCCTTGGTGAGGCGTTGCTTCGCCGCCATGCTGCGTATGTGGTCGTCGAACTTGAACCTTGCCCTCAGCAGTACCGTTCGGGGCAAGGCGCCACCCGCGCCCACGCGCGGCTTGTGGATAGTCAGCTGGAGACAGCGGGGGTCCTCTTTGTCGCCTTGGATCTGACGAAGGGCAGGTGTTGCTTTATGTGACATTGCTGCAGGCGGATCACCCGATGTTAAGTGACGAGGTGATCACTTGACATCAGGTAGGTACAACGAGTTACAGACAAGTTGCTAACAGGGTTACGGGTTTGTTTACATGCAAAAAAACCTTTGCACACCCTGTCTTTCCAACACGAGTTACAGTAAAGCTATCATTTTTATTGAGTTAAAGAAAACAAATTTAACATCTCACAGCCTTTTCAAAAGCCACTTTGGATATCATCTAAGTGATCTGTTATAATCAGCCATTTAGATAATTTGCTAAGTTTTTAGTGCATACCCTTTCTGAAATCTTTACGCACGCCACTTCATTGCGGCAAGCTACTTCACCTGAAGTTAAGTGACAAGGTGATCACTTGACATCGGGTGAAGGTACAACTGATTACAGACATTATTTCCGTCTATTGTGTTCCGCATTCAAGGAAATGTAATAAAGACCAAATACATAAATATGGGCCATTGAATTTAGATACAAAAAAATGTGGGTCGCATTCACGCTTGGACAAAAACATTTTAAAGAAAAATGAAAATTTCCGAGAGTACTTTTCATTCGTGAAGAGAAGAAAATAATTACAATTCTATACAACTTAAAAATAGAATGACTCGGTCGACGCAGTGGCTAATTTATACCGGCTTTGACGCGCCGAGTCGTTGCTTCGATTCGATGTATCTTAGTTTATGCTTAATCCAATCCGCTTTTGACCAGAACTTTACAAAGACACCAGACGGGGACTCAAAACTCACTTCTAGATCCTGCAGGCTTCCTACCAACTTGGCGACGCCGAAGCCCATTTTCTGCTTGTCGGGCTCCACCAGTATTATCTGAATGTGGTCCACGGCGAGGAACCTGTGATGCCACGTGCCGTCCTTCTGTATTATGTCGCACGATATGAGATCGGAGTCATCTGCAAATAACAAACAACGTATTACGTAAAAGTAACTGAAAATTCCTAGATTCACTAGCTCCAATATTTTATTGGGTACGCTACACATTTATACAACAGATTTAGCTTATATCAAATACAACTACCATAACATCGAGAAAACAAAAAAAATTGTATTAACATAGAAAGAATGTAGAAAACTCCGAGAAAGTTGTGATATCCAATGACGTCATCGACGAATTTATTTATTTTTTTCTATCTATATCTATTCAACTACTAAACTCATATTTGTAACTATTGATCTAATAGTTAAATTTCATCTTGAACACGGATTAGTACCGAAAATAATAATTTACCCTAAATAACATAATTATTATACAGGGAGGCTTTTCTAAGTGTATCCATTTTTTTATTAAATTCTAGACATAAATAAAGTTATAAAAAAAAGATAAATATTTAAAATAACTCGTGATTAATTAATTACATTCATTTGAACTTATCTCAGAAAGTGCGTCATTTATGGACAATTCATTTATTATACGCGCGATCATTCATAACAAACACGCGCACAAGTTCATTTCAAAAGTATACGACGCATTTTCAAAAGTATATACGCTAAAGTTTAAAAAAAAATCGTTTTTATTTCAATAAACGACCTAGTCTGAACCTCCTGTGTGAATTTGGGCACCTTTAGAAAAACCACCCTGTATATTTAATTAACTGTGTTTAGGCCACGAAACAGGTATCTCACAGCCTCACAGATGGCCGGCGTGAAGTGAACAATTTATATCCGAGTATTCCCTCGTGAGTGAGGTAGTTGGGGCCCACTATATTGAAAGGTTGGCAACGCATATGCAACTGCACGGGTGTCGGTGATGTCCATGGGTTATCACCCAGTTAGTGAAGTCCATGGGTTATCACCAGACGCACAGTGCGTCAACCACTTACTGAGGTCCAGCACGTCTCCGACTTGAACGAACGGCGTGGGATTGGTCAGCGGCAGCTGTGTCTCCGGTTTGTTGGTGAGCTTCAGGAACAGATCTCGGACGAGGAAGAACGTCCTGATTGCTCGGCGCGCTCTTTCCATCTGCCGAGAAACGGATGACTAGACTAGTCATTTTATTTACTAAATACCGACTTCAAACATCTCGTTCTGTATTCATTTCAGAGTTGATTTTCGGGGGTTTCCCAAGTATCTCCGGATCCCAAGATCCAATACCAATGAAATGAATGTGGGGCCACATGGGAAGCATCAGTTTTCAAATAAAAAAGAATCCACAAAATCGGTTAACTCACTCAAAAGTTCTGAGGTAACAAACATAAAAAAAAATACAGTCGAATTGAGAAGCTCCTTTGAAGTCGGTTAACAAAAGGGCGCACCTAGAAGGAGAGAGGAGATAGGAAGGGGGAAGTCCCGCAAAGGCTGCGCTTTAAACAAGCGTATAAGTAAGATACCTAAGTAAATGGAACTTAGTCCGCCGTCGTGAATCGGGAATAAATCTTGATTAACTCTTTTACGAGGCAAAGCCGACGTCCAATGGACCAAGGTAGAGAATACGACTGATTTTACGTAAGATGACGTATCTCCTCTCACAATGATCGGCAATTATTGGGTCTGATATTTGGGCGGTTCCGACTCTTTCCGGAGCGTTTCAATATTTGAAACGGTCGCTCCATTACACTTCATCAAAATTAATCTAGTTCTATCGAGATAGGGAAGAGAAAGTAAATTAAATGCAAGAAAATTAAAGCAAGCAAAAGAAAAGGTTAGTGAAAAAGATTTAAGCATCGGCGCTCACAGTACTGACCTCGCCGCTGGGCAGGCGTTTCGCGAAGGCAATTCCCGACATGGGTGTCCGTGTCGGCGGCAACAGTATCGCTGCGTCCATACACAACCACTCCACGTTTAAGGGGCGCTTGCTCATTTCGCAGTACCTGATAGAAAAATGTTCAATGGATTAGTCTCTACAATACTACGAAACAATCAAGCAAAGAAATAATTTAATATACTTGTAAGGTTACTAGATAGAATGCTGTAGTACTGCTAGTAACCATCTGGGTTGTCTGGACTTTTTTTAATAAAAAAGAAAATTCTCATACTTTACCAAGTCCTTCTGTATAAGGACAATATACAAGTTTCATCTAGTACGAACATGTAGGTTATTATAAAAAAATATGTGATTATACGTACCCATAACACAAAAATACATACTTCATCTTTCGTTAAGCTACTGTGCCGACCCTATAGGAGGATGGACAAATCAATTCTATGCTCCGCAGATTGTCATGAGCTACTTGCATCAAAAGTAACTTTGCAATAACAAAATTATTTTTTTTTATGGAAAAGGAAGTAAACGAGCACGATTTCTCATGACCGGTGATCATTTGATGGTAAGTGATCACCACCACCTGGATACTTTCAACATCGGAGTCACAACTGCGTTGCCGGCCTGTGATAGGAGTAGTCTTCTTAAAGTCCCAAAGTCATATGGGTCCAGAAATACCGCTGTCGAATTAAACAAACTAGACAATCTCTAGCTGCTCTCAGACAACTGATTTAGAACCGGCTGTAGCTTCGGAGCCTGTACAGAATAAAGAATCATAGAATTTAAACAAGCGACTCACTCATCCTCGAACATGTCCAGGAAGATGTCGTCGCACTTGTAGAAGTTCCTCGCGAGGGAGGCGGCCCGCGCTCTCAGGGCGTCCGCGGCGGCCACGTGCCGCGAGCACGGAATGCCGCTGGCGCCCTGCATCGCCACCAGCACCAGCCTCACGCTCAGCTCGCACGTCACCAGCCGCACCTTCGACGCTGCGGGGCCGATCGACTAATACCGTCAGCAGATTAAAGCGATCTGAACGCAGTGACCGACAGTGCTGCAGAGTATATGTCACGCTTGACTTGATATGCCGCAGCCAGGACGTTAGAACGCTGTCAGGTATCTCTGAACGTTTAGTGCGTTCAGAGATCACCCTGACAGCGTTCTAACGTACTCGTAACGGCGTTGTGTTAATCTACGAGTATTCACGATTTGATATGACATTACAGATAACCGAAAATGTCGATCGTTTATACACGGTGGCTTTTTTAAAGGTGCCTAAATTCACACAGGAGGTTCAGACTAGGTAGTATAATCATTTAATGAAATAAAAACAAACTTTTTTTTTTTTTTTTTCAAAAAAAAATTGCCTTTCTATTCCCTAAAAAACAGAACTTGTTGACAATGCGGTAGTGATTCATAAATACGTCGTATACTTTTGAAACGAACTTGTGTGCTTGTTAGTTATGAATGATCGCGCGTAAAATAAATGAGTTGCCCATAAATCACGCACTTTCTGAGATAGGTTCAAATGAATGTAATTAATTAATTACGAGTGATTTTTTGTATATCTTTATTCAAGTCTAAAATTTAAAAAATATGGATACACTTATAAAAGCCTCCCTGTATATGTACGTTTTCAGGCGTAGAGCGAGATCGTAAAACGGTGCGTAAACATAGAGACGTCGCAAAGTAAACGTTTTAAGGATATGTACGATAATTGCTGAACTATATAACTAATGGGCAGAGTGCATCTGCTAATGTATAATGACACGGTGTGTGCAATATCACATTTGACACTTTGCACTTCGTCAGCGTATCTTAACGCGTAGGGCTCAGTAAACGCTCACAGTGAATTTGCCAGACACAAGTTACTGAAACGTCACATTGACGTCATGCGGCGGCATTCAAATTCATTCCGAGGTATCAAGATTAATTTGCGACTAATTCTGACAACCTTCCTGCCAACATTTCAAGTCAGGCATTTAGAAATATTTTAAAGTCGGCCAAGTGTGTTACACTATTGACACTAACATAATATTAGGTCCATACACATGAAATTAGCGTCTTGTCGAACTGACCACTTTGATCTAAATATCTGTTTGGCTAGGAATTCCAAATTCAAATTTATTTCAAACTTAGCTGTTGACTGAGGAATTAATTTGAGACAAATTATCGCCTATGCAAAACTCGATGTGTCGGCAGGTGAAAAATATGTAGGATTAAAGTAGGTGATGTATATTTTGCCAAGTGTAGGACGTAAATACCACTTTGTGCGCTAAGAAGATCTCCAAACTTAGGAGTTAAACGAAGTTATTCGCTCACAAGGCTCCCACTTATCATCTGGCAATGACAACGAAGTATTTAATGTTATACATTATATTTTATCAGGTATGTGGGAAGCGTGTACAAAATTAATAAGAATCAAGTTATCAAATAAATATAGAAATTCGTTATTGACAATGATGATGATGAATAAACAAAAAAATTTTCTTTTTTTAATTAGACTGAATGTAGGAGAATGAAATGAGTATAAACAATTTTTAATCACTACATAGTATAAAACAAAGTCGTCCCGCTGTCTGTCTGTCCCTATGTATGCTTAGATCTTTAAAACTAAGCAACGGCTCTTGATGCGATTTTTTTACTGGATATTGATTCACGAGGAAGGTTTATATGTACAATACATTGCACCCGTGCGCCGCCTAGGCGGGTCGCTAGTATTATATAAATTGATGCAAAATAGCTTACCCGGTTTACAGCTGAGGTTGGCGATAGCCATCAACTTGTTTATAAGAAGCGCATTAAAGCTTCGCATTCGTCGTTTCGCTGAGCGGGCTGGACTCCCATCTTGTTGGCCACCTTCATCATTGGAGGCGTCTTCTCGGCTGCTAGCGTTGGAACACCGGGAATTTGGATTTGTACCGTTTTCGTCTTCAGTCTCAGGGCACAACAGAGTGTCTAAAAGCTCTGTGTTCACTCCTAAAAATGCAATCAAATAAATTCTAACACGTTCTCAACGATAAAACTAACCTGTACAAATAGCGAAACTCTTACCCACTAATACCAAAGGCAAGCAAAGAATAAAACAGAAAAACAATTAGTTCAAACTGTCATAACACGTGACTAAATCAAAAGACAATACCAAATAATAGTCCTAAGCAATTTGCATGTGAGTCCTCACCTTTGTTGTTTATCAAAGCAAATAATAAGCACAGAGCGAAGAGAGCTTTGTAATCGTTCTCGCTGCAGTCTAATGAATCCAGAATGGTCTTAAGGAATGGCCTCTTATCTATTTCTTTAATCTCTCTTTCTAAAATGTTCTCTATACTCAAGGTCTTCTGCGTCGATGTGCTTGGCATGACACCTAATAGCTTCTGTTTTTCCTCGTCTGTGATATTGTTCAACTCCGACAAGGTTTTAGATGAGCTCGAATCGATTCCGGAATCTGGCAAGGGCGAATCGGGCATATTCTGCACGGAAGACCGAGCTCCGATGGATTTAATCGAATGTATCTGCGTTACTAAGTCTTCTGTCGAGTCGTGCGCTATACTCGACGTCTCGCTAATATGCGAGGTCGACGGTAGGGAGGTCGAGACGAGTTCCGGATCCAGGTCGCAGCTGGATTGGTCCGTGTCCTTATCAAGGTCGCAGCCGAAAGCTTTCGGCTCACTGTACTCCGGTGTGGTGTAGTCCCTTTCCTGGCCCGATGTCTCCAAAGCTTTCTCCAAGCTCAGTTGCGGCTTCGAGAACTCCAATTTAACGTTGGTCTTCGCTTTGCTCAGATACATTTCCAGTATTCTGGTTGCACCGTCCTCAAACACAGATAAGTCCGACTGCAGTATAATCCAGGCCAGCGCGTGAACAATCGGGCCGTGCGTTATTATTAGGAACACTTGCGATAGCAAAAATAGAGCAACCACGCAAGACACCGATGGTTTCGTTTCTTCCTCTGTCTCCATCCTCTGTATAGGGTACGTCATCCTTGACGGGCTATCGGTGGTTTTCCCCTTCAGAATGGCCTCCAAATTCCTCGTGATAACCTCGATACTTTGTATATGGTCTCTGTTGTACGGCGACGACGTCACGGGCCGTCTTGTCGGTTCGGAAGTCAAGGAGTAAATGTACAGAGGGATGAGTAATTTATGCAATAGATGCTCGGTGAGAACATCATTGAGGTCGGGAATGTTCAAGCACAATATGTCGTTGATATAATGCAGATGGTCCAAATGCTCGGCTACTAAATCGTCGAGTTTCTGTTGGGACTGATGGCTGTAATATATTAGACAACTTTGTAGACGTGCAAGATTCAATATAAATTCTACAATATTTGAACAGAAATTTCAAAAGTACACTTACTCAGCGTCGTTCCTGACACAAGCGTCTAGCTCCAATATGTGTTTTCCAATAAACCAGACTAGATTACTGAAGTATGGTGCTGCGGTGCTGTTAGAAAATTTCAAAAGATTTTTACTGATACGTCTGCTCTCAAGATGACACTTAAATGAAGCCACATTAATAACGGATAAATTGCCGAAAAATTTAGTGTCATACTGTAAAATTGAACAGAAGTTCGCGCGAAGCGTTACTAAAAATGCATAAAATAGATAGATGTTGAGCTTAACTCAGTTGGCTAGAACATAAGGATGTGTTACCCTGAAGCTAGGCAGAACCCTGGCGAGGAAGAAAAAAAATTTTTTCTGCATTCTATGTGTATCTGATAAACTCACATCTAAAACCTTTATTCACTTGAATCAGTTTGTAAGTTAAGACCCAAACTAGATTTATATAATCTACAAATATTGGCTAAACCATGCATAAGACATTAAAGTTGTACAAAATTCATATTATACCATATTACCATTAAGTAAAATAAGAAATTTTTATTATGTTATTACAAACACTTACCGATCTCTTATAAAACGGAGCATGCTTGCATCTTGTACCCTGTAGACATTAAGGGTTAGAGTGCGCACAGCTATCCGAACCATTGATTCTGGGTGGTTGAAAAACTTGATAGCCTCTGTGTACAATGGAAAATCCTTTGTATGCTAAAAGACAAACAATAATATTAACATTTTTTACATTAAAAAATGTGTAACATCGATTGTAAAGAATGATTATTAAGACCCACAATCTTGGATTTAATTACATTGTCTATTATGAATATTAGACTTTAATTACATTTACATTTCAGTACAAGTTTATGACATTTATAACTCTTTATCAAAGCTACACTAATACTAGGTTACAAGATTAAAAATGCTAAAAACTAAATGTTCATACCTGAAGAACACATTAGGAAAGATAAAAATAGTGATAATGTTTTAAATTAGAAAATTGACTTTTATGCATTGGATATTGATAGATATTACATTTACTCAAATATATTTTTTCTTTTTTTTTTTTTCAGATATCCAAATTATTTAAAAAAAGCCTTAAGAAATTAAGAAATATATAAAGAATAAAAGTAATAAACATGGCAAATTTAATTTTTATACAGAAAATGATTTCTTTGTATAGGAATGTTTGTGTAACCTTCTCCTATTTTTGCCTATACATAATATTATTATAATAGATTTTGTTACTTTTTTGTGTTCTTTTATGAAACATCTCCAATCCATTGAACAAGTACTGGTGCTAGTATTCTAGGTAGCTTACAAGAAAATAATAGAATTTGAAATGTCTTAAGTGTATTTTGATTATTTACAGCAATTAAACTTACCTCATTGTAAAAAAAATGTATAGTATGATTATTGAGTTTCAAGCTCAACGTCTTTAAAAATGAAATGTAATATGCCATAACCTCCTCATCAGATACATCAAACTTGTGGACAATTATTGAGTTGACATGATTATTACTCAGCAAATAATCTGTCGGGACAAACATTCTGCTTATAACAGTCCAATAAAACCATGGGTAAAATTTTGCATTAGTGTCCAGGCATTTTTCGACCAAATTTTATTAGTAAAAGAAAAATCATAATGATTTTGTTTGGTTGAAAAATGCCCAGACGCTAATGGAAAAAAATACCAAACCATGATAGCCAAAATCTTATAGCCTGAATACAAAATAATGATTAAAGGTAAATTTGAATTTATATTTAATACTTACACAATGATGTTTCATTTCTAATATTCTCAAATAAAATATTTAGAGTTTGTAACAATTGCACACAAACATATGATGAGCCACCACATTTCTGTCTCATTATCTTCAGGAAATATGAGAGCATATTTTTCTCTAAAAAGAAACTGAAAAACATGACATCAATATTATTATTGTCCTGGCAAAATGTGGAAAATAGATTGAAGTACTGTGCTCTCTTGAGTATTAATTTAGTATTAATGTACTATGTTAAGAGATCAAATATATTTAAAACATGATGTAATAAAACTCATGACTGTAACATTTAGTTTTGGCCTAAATTGTATCCATGTTGATAAAAGGTCAATGAGATTGAACCAATTTTTTTATTGCAGTTATTTTCATTTGTTAAATAAAATGTGCTTGAAATAAGGTTATAAAAAAATGTTTCACTCAACTACATAAAAACGCACAGAATTACATTGGAAATACGAAGTAAAAGTAAAACAAAGAGAACAAACAAGGACAACTTTTCTTTAAGTTAGAGTTTTTAAAATAACAGTTTTTAACACTCTGTAGATTGTAAGTATCAACAAACTTACTCAAAAACTGAGCTATCATTCTGGTCACCCCATATCAGAATCTCTGCTATACACCTTAAGGACTCCACGAGGGTTCCACGATTACTCTCTGATACAGTAGTGTTTTTTGACAAAATATTGTGGAGGTACTTCAACCTCTCCAAAGAATGGGGGTTCTTGGGCCTGCCCCAAGATGCACCAAACCAACTACGACTCCGAAACATGTTAGTTTATGATAACTTAACAAAAATACAATGAAAACTGGTCATTCTCTTGTTGTTATTTAATGTACGTCACTTCAATTAGCACCATTATTCATGTTTTAGCTTCAATTAATATGAACATTTCTTCTCGGGACGTACAATTTTATATAAACTGGTTTTAAGGAATTTGCAATTTTATTACAAGTACCTCTACCTTGTTCTGTTTATTTTATTTTCATGTTATTTTTACATTTCCTGCTCTTACGTACTACAATAATGTAATTTTGACAGTAACGTTCCATTCCTATAATAAATAAGAAACGTTAAACATTTTAGTGCATATGAGATTAACTTGTTATTTTATTATCTATTTCATTTTTATTAATAATTTGAATAAACATGCAACATTAATTTCGACCAAATTAATCGTTATGATTTATGGAATTCTCAGCCCTTTTTAAGAAACCGTTTTGTTAGATCTTTAAAATCAGATAATATTTTCACCAGTCTGCAGTTGCTATTCAAGTCAACGTTTCTCTAATACTACGTAGGTACGATACGTACCTACGTTCACTGGCTATGAATTTGCTGGCTGGCTGTAAACTTATTTTGTATGACCTGAAGGTATACTTTGCGAGTCCCCCACGCGTCATGTTTACCTCACGTCTCAAGGAATCGGTTGGCTGAAAAGCGTGACTTGTCCTAATTTCCTTTTTTTCTGTCTTGCAAGTGTACGCGAAGAGTGTTTAATCTAGAGTAATGGGAACAGCTACATTAATTTCGGAGTGGATTTCAATCCTGCATTTGCAATACCAGACATCGAGGGAATCGGTAGTGATTTGAAGGCGGCCAGTGATACGGGCTGCAAGTATGTATAGAATGGTAAGCTGTTATCCAGTGCAAATATAAAAAAGTGTGAGCGCGGATCTTTTGGCATGTCACTTGTGTAAAGGGTGAAGAGAAAAGGTGAGTCCCACGAACCTTGAGGAACACCGGATGTAAAGTAAAGCGGTGGCTTTTAGACAAAGTAGCCTCTAATCGGTAAACGGTTATTAGGATAATTCGGTTCAATAAGAAGGCTTGAATGCTGTGAACGAGCCTATATTCTGGCACTTTGAAGTTTGAAAATTAAGCCGTTATAATAGACTCGATCGAACTTCTTTAACCAGACCGATTCATACGGGTGTAGGGCGTTTAAGAAGATGTTAGGCGATATATTTGGTCTGGGCATGAGCGGAGATTCAACATTGCGAATATCCGTTTTGGGAGATTCTTTTAATTGTTTATATAAGAACTTTTGTTTTCTTTTACTAGCAAAAGGAATTATTGTAAAATGTTATAAAGTACTAATTGTAGAAATATATACATATTTACATCAATCTAGGCCTCTCATAATGCTAGAATCAGTCTCAACTTTGGATAACATTGCTCTTGAGGAACCGTACTAACTGGAATAGCGAAAAATTAGCAAGCAAGCAGGCGGTTCGGTATTAAGTCATTACGGCTGCCCATCAAACATATATAATTAATACAGTACCTACAGATACATATGTAAACCTACAGATAAATTATCTATACATAAGTACGTATACACCCTAAAAGTAGTTACAGTTAATATAATATTATATTAATACCTAAAAATTAATCTAATGAATTTATTTTATTTATTAATAGCCTTGTAACTGTCACGGCTTTAAAATGTCCATTTTTTGTTTACACGTGCACTTACCTAATATATCTAGTACTCATAGCTTGCCAAGGAAAATGTGAAGTTTTCCAGGTTTGGAACCTGTGCTGTATTATAGTAAAATATATTTTTTTAATTTTTATGGTTGTACCCAAAGGGTAAAACGGGACCCTATTATTAAGATTCCGCTGTCTGTCTGTCCGTCAGTCACGGTAAAGTCCGTCAGTCACGCGGCTTTACCGGCGTGGATGTCGATTATCGCGACCAAAAGTAATCATGAAATTTTGATCCCGTTCCCGCAACCCACGGGAACCTATTCCAGGGATAAGGCAAGACATTGCGGGAAGGGGGTCAGCTATTGCATTAAGCGTGATGTGGCGTGATGCTTGAATTTCATTCTCGCGTCCGGAAGAAGTTCGTTTAAATTTTATGGCAATAATAAATAAAAAAACAATGTGCACGAAATGCTTAAAGTCTCTAACTTGTTTAAAATGATAAGGATTAATACCGCTTTATAATTGCCCATTTTTTAAAGTATTAATATGGATATAGTACCTATGTTATCCTTAAGAGATAAACATATGCCATCGCGCACTTTTCTGTAGACTTAAGTAAGATAGACAATTCTACCATACATCATTGTTATATTGGACAGACTATTTTTTCCGACACCTTCAACAAATATCATTATATTTTGGCCAATGTGGTATACAAAAACTTGACAAATTATAATTATACTAAAACCTTCCTCGAGAACTACTCTATTCACAGGTGAAAACAGCATGATAAAATCGGTTTTAGTTTTTGAATTAATTTGAATTTCGAACAGACAGACGCGGCGGAGGACTTTATTTTATAATGTGTAGTGATGTAGTGATAGTGATAGAGAGCTGTGTCCGCGAGTTCGTCTGCGTGGAATTTAAAATAAATAAAATTTCTAAAATAAAAGTACCAAATTTACTCCTTATTACATCAGCTATCTGTTAATATCTTGTAATTCGTTAATATCTTGTAAATTTTGTAATCGTTAATATAATGTAGAATCATCAAAATCGGTACTCTCAGTCGAAAGTTCTGAGGTAACAAACATAAAAAAATACAGTCGAATTGAGAACCTCCTCCTTTTTTGAACTCGGTTGAAAAGCGGTTATTTAAACATTACAAACAGACACTCCAATTTTATTTAGGTATCTAATATATATTGGCACTTGGCAGGTTTTGTTTATAATTTCTTTGATATTGAATCTTTGAAAACCTTAAACCTGTATCCTTCCCAACATGCTTCCTGGAGACCCTTTCCGACAGATACCATTGCCGTACCATCTTTTGAAAATATCCGTGTGAAAAAAACACTTTTTTATTATTATTTATATGATTGGTGCACTTTGAGGCATCCCTTGTTCCTTATTTTAAGATATTTTCAAATAATTTATTGCTCGATTAATTTCGTTGTTAAGCTATATAATATATAATAGGGTTTGGTTCAGCAAGCGATTGGCGGGTTTTACTTGTTGACGCCGTGGCGCAATTGCCAAGGTATTGACTTTGGACGGCGTAGGTCGTTGTATTTCAACACGGGACAACTATTATATTTGTGCCAATTATTTGACTCACGGGTAATTGTTTCACGTCTGGGTGTTTTTCCACGTGAAGTTTATGTTTGTAATACGTCTCTATCTTAACATATTATGTTATAATTTTTCGTATTTACGCGATTACACATTATAAATGATAGTAATGTTACGGATTTATCGCGTTTATTTTTAATTTTCATTCCCGACGTTTCAAACCCTTTACAGCGTTCATGGTCGCGGGACAAATAAACGAGACGAAATAAACGGGATAAATCCGTAAAATTAGTTTCATTTATAATATTATTTTATCCATAACATAAAGTAAGGGTAATTTAAAATGTTTTAATAAAAGGTAAAAAAAAAGACTTCACACCCTCCAGACCCATGTGAGTTATTATTTTATTATAAGTATTACATCACTACATAGTATAAAACAAAGTCGTCCCGCTGTCTGTCTGTCCCTATGTATGCTTAGATCGTTAAAACTACGCAACGGACTTTGATGCAGTTTTTTTACTAGATGGAGTGATTCAAGAAGAAGGTTTAATGTATAATACATTGCACCCGTGCGAAGCCGGGGCGGGTCGCTAGTTGATACTAATTATAAGCATACTAGCTGCTGCCCGCGATTATGTTTGCGTAATATGGTGAAGGCGTAAAATTCAAACAGAAAGACAGATTATACATTAAAATATTTCTTTACATACAAAATTCATGGTTTTGCCTTCTGCAGCAATATGTATAAATTGTCCGCATTATTGATCCACGATCACTTACAATTGGCCGTGGAGAAAATAGTTAGATCGTAGGCCAATACCAAGGTTCCGTCCCTGAGACTTATTCTTTTTTTTTTTAAACATTGCCCTTACTTTAGGATAACATTATCCTGTGTTGTAACGACCTTTTACAAACATAAATTTCACGCGGACAAACACCCAGATACGAAACAACTATCTGTGGGTCACACAAATAGTTGTCCCGTGTGGGAATCGAACCCACGACCCCCGACGCCGAAGCCAATACCTTGGCCACTGCGTCACGGAGTCATCTTATTTGCGGCCATCGCGCAGCTGGCTGCTGCCTTTACAGTACCTAAGAATTTATTTCCCACTGTCTATTAGTATAGAAACAAAATACTTACAAACTTACGTCTACTCAAATGTGGGAAAATACTCTTGGGTATTAGATACGTAAAAATGAAACAGAATAATGTAGAAAAATATATTTATTTCTCACTTTCATTTTAGGCAATACATATCGGTGTAGTTATTCTATCAAAATTAATTGTTTTTTTTTTTTAAATAATTGTATTATATACTTAGCCCTAAAATTGCTCTCTGTACCTTCGCCTTATGGATGAAGCGAAAAATTGATTTATTATCTAATAAAAATTTTCCCCTTACATAATTAAATAATTGTTTGCGAACAAGTCCTTTTTAACATGAACTTCATACCACGTTGATTTGTTTATTCTGACAAATTAAAAAAATAATTCTATAATTACCATTGACTTGAGTGAAAAACTTGAATTAAAATTAAGGACACCTTTTAGATTAAATCAAAAACAAAATTGTTTATACAAAACTGATCAAGAAGGATATCTTCGTTAAATTGGACGATATCACATTGCTACTTAATCTGCCATCATACCTAATTAGCAAATGTTTTCGACACAGCTTAAGAGATTTCAATTCTTGTCCGCACATACATATAATTATCCTGGTTGTAAGGGATCCTTGTTATATGGTCAACTAATCTATTATTAAAAAACTCAAATCTCATAACGACTCATTTGATAATTACAAGTTTGTAATTGGACAGAAAGTTGAGAAATCCAAATCGAATAAAAACATACATAGATATACCTAATATCTTTATTTAATTTGAGCATCACACCTTATCCGTATCGTACGTACTAAAACATTCGCTGGATTTACAAAGAACATCTAGAAAAGTTAATAATTATTTTCTTTTCTCCCTAAACCAATACAATGTAAGTGTTCAACTTAATTAAAAAATATGAATGATTTTTAATTATAAAATTAAATGCATTCACACCAATAAAATTAATTATAAAATGTTACTTAACAGATTACACATTACAAAAAGGTATACACTAAATCTATATGACAAGGATCGGATATTTAGTGGACGGATCGTTACCTACATTTTTTTGAAATTTGTACGCAATTAATTAAAATAAATTACAAAATAAAATAAGCTTTTTTATAACTATTTAAAATAGTTTAAATTTTATTGTCATGCTATAGTTGAAACTTATAAAAATACCAGTTTTTTATAACTTAGGTACTAAAAATTATTATTAATATTTACCGCAGTTTAATACACAGTAGCTGTAGTACACCAATTGAGACCGATTATACGCTAAAAAAATTAAGTAGAACAATTTTGCAATACCTTCGTTCTATCCTTTTGCATCAAATCAAAATTATCAAAAATAATTAAATTTATATTTAAGTAATCACTTTCTAAGCATAAAATATACTTTCAATATGAAATGAAGTAAACATTTCATAAAATTTCAAAGCAGAAAATAGTTTTCATAATACTAACTGCACGTACGTTTGAATAGCGTATTCAATATTAGTACAATAAATTGCTTAAAAAATTATATATTAAAAGTATAAAAAACGAAGTACTCTCACTGGTCATAAATAGTATGCGTATGAAGTTGTTAAAACGTTTAAGATAATAAATAAAATTTTTATGCGAACAAACTAATTTAAACATTATTAGATCCTTATAAATCTCGTTATTCGATTCCCTAAACACGTGAGCTCGATACGAGCCAGTTTTTAATACCCTTATCGGAACCCTTAACGATTTAGGGGTAGAAATTCTGGAGAGCGTCGGAGTATATAGAGTTGTAAGTGTCCCTCAGTACGTAGACGCTGTCACCTGGTTTCCCGTTAAAGACGAACGGACCTTTCAGGTTGGTTACTTTAGAATTTGTGGGCACAGGTTTTGGTTTGGGTTTAGAGTAAGTTGGCGTGTTGTAGGTTGGTCTTGGCGCTGGCATTACCGGCTGTGGGGCTCCGTAGCCGAACGGATCGACGGGACCCATTTGGGGCACTTGGGGGTATCCCCCGGCGCCGCTCCACTGGTACACGCCCGTTGGCTTTCCATTCGAAACGAAGTCTAGAGGCAGGTTGATGAAAGGATCGCCCATTTGTGATGGGACCCCCTGGGCCATCATCGGCGACATTGGCGGCCCGAGAGATGGCGGCTGCGACACGTACCCGAGCCCGGGGACGAACATGTAAGGCGTGGGCGGCAGCCTGATGTAGAATATCGGCGAGTTGTCGTACTGCAGGGAGTTTATGTTGTCGTTCTGGTAGGCGTTCGCGTTGCCGTTCTTCTTCTTGTTCTGCTGTCTGCGCGTGGAGGGGATCGTTCGGGAGAGGTCCTCGTCGCTGAAACTGTCGTCGTTGACGGAGAAGGTGACGTCATCGTCGTCGTCCTCGGCGTAGTCCAGGCCGGAGGACATGAAGGGGGGGAAGTAGCCGAACAGGTTCAGTGCCTTGTTCCGTCTGTGCGTAGGCTCCGGTGCGGCAGTAGTGAGCTCCTCTTTGTACTTGTCCTCAAGCTTGCTCTCTCGCACGGGTGGCTCCTCCTCTATAGCAGCCCGGGATCTCCTTGACTTCGGGGCACTATGGCCGGGACACACCGCCGCCGCCAAAAACAGCACGAATAAGAAGCTCGCCGTTTCCATTTTGTGGGTTCTGGAAAGAGAGAGGTCACGTTTAGTTCGTTGTTTCAACATTGACTACCAAAGTTTTTTTACGCTGGTACTAACACCAACCAAATCAAAATGTCAAATTACTAACATCGTAATATAACATTTTGATTTGGTTTCTAAAAGACTGATCATCGGAAGTCAACTAATCAGCTGTCAAATGGCTTTTCAAATGTTATTTGAGTTGCCAAAAGGATTGTTAAACTCTTTGAGTTGATCATTTAGAAGATCATTCTAATTAATTACATTGATAATTGGAATTTTAAGTGCCTCTTTAAGTGAAAGAGATCTCCGTCCCTCAACCAATCTTAAGATTGCTATCCCTTCTCACAATACCAGTTTCGTCAGTAATTCCTTCACTGTTCAGGCTGCACTGCTCTGGAACTCCTTGCCTAATGACATACGTAGGGCCCCTGACAGGACCTCATTCAAACGCTTGGTCCGTGACTTTTACTTGAATGACTCAGTATAAACTAGAATGTTGATGTTATCATTGCCACTACCGTTTATATATATATATATATATATATATTATATATATATATATATATATATATATATATATATATATATATATATATATATATATATTATATATATGTATGTGTTTAATTATTAATTTTATGTGTATATTTTGTATATTTTCAATACATATAAATAATTGATATAATTATTGCACCTACCACGATTTCTCACCACTCCCCGGGTTGACTGGGAGAGAATGCCAAAAGGCATTAAGTTCGCCCTTTGTAATCCTTGCTTAAGGTAATTGCAATAAAGAATAAATAAATAAATAAAATAAATGCTGATGCAAAGTTAAAGTAGCATATAATATGCCAAACGACAGCAATGTGGGTCTCGATATTGTGAAAATCGCGAGTGGAAACCGAAGCAGAAACGCTTTATCAAACAAGCTGGTAGTGTGCTAGTATATAATGTTGTGGGTAATTACAATGTCCACGTTTTTGTTTACGTAAACACCTTTTTAATAGAAGACAATACTGAACAAAAGTGCGAAGCAACATGGTAATATCTCATATTTTTTTTAGAATAAGTCATCACATTGCAAATTATTTTCTATCCAACTCAAAGTTATGGCGAGACACCTTTAATATTTGTGAAGGCAAAAGCAGGCCCTTTTCCGTTCTCGATCTATTACAATGCCGGTTAAAATAAGTAAAACTAAATAACGAAAAAAAAATACAAATGCCGTGCAGCTGTAACTCACATGCCTTATACCTATATATTTTTTATTTATTTTATATTTTTGTTAAATTCAATTTTTTATTGTTGTGTATTTTTTTTTGGTAAATAAATTAAATTTGTTTCTTTCTTTCCTCCTATAATCGAAGACCGTTGTCAAATATTGAATTGAAAAGTAAACTAACAGCGATAGTTTCAAGAGACGGCTACCTTAACTGCTGGTCTATACGGTTGTCGGCTCTGTGGAAATCAGTGGAAAATTAAGACAGCATCGACCGTTAATAAGTGATAGCATAAAAAAGAATCGCAAGAACTTTCAGAGTCGCATAATAAATCGGTCACTCATCCCATAACGAAGGCAAATCGCTGCACAAACGCTAAGCGTTCATTTACTTCATCTGTTAAAGCACCGACACGATTTTAATTACTGTAGAATCTAAATGGAAGCGAAACGGACGTTAAGAAGTTTTAATACAGGTATTATTTCCCACAACTGTGTTCCCATTTTTCTGTTAGATACTCGGATAGTCCTGACTGAACTAGATTACAATGCAAACTAGCAAATGTCATATCATGACATAAATGCAACGCATGAAAATAGCGGTTATATCGAATTCGAAAACAAAAATATTTTTATTGCTCCAAGCAGTGATTAATCATTATGATAATTTTAAAAATACCAATCATACATACCATAAAGATACGTGACATCATTGCGTTTAAATTTATAATAAAGTATGATTCAAGTAAGCGGATACAAATATCGATTCAAGTAAGCGGATACAAATATCGTTTAAATCGATGAAGCGTTAACCTTTCTCAAGGAAGTTTTTAAAGAGGATGGAACTAATGCCGTCTAAAAGTTTGCCATTGTTATCAATAAAAGAGATAATGTTCAAACATAAAAATAAAAATCGTAGAAAGTTGCTAGATACAAGTAAAGGTGGTAAATGAAGAGTTTCAAAAGAAACCATCATAATAAGAAAGAATTAAAAAGTTTTTGCTTATCTCAGGTCATGGTTAATGTAACAACTCCAATATTTAATTTAATAAAATCGATCATTTAATTGATGAAACGTCTAAAAAAAGTAAGTTTTATATATGCAGTAGGCAATAATACAACTTGTTAGATTACGTTTCTAACATCGCGTTTTTATAATTTATCTCTTAAACTTGTATCGATGCGAAAAGTATAATGTAATAACTCTAGCAATGTAAGCAATTATATTTTTGAATAGATCTAATTATCATCTTGCTGTTTTATTGCGCAAAAAAACTATGTATTAATTAATTACTGGAAATCCTCATTACGCTACGAAAACAGATGCCATCATTTTACGTAACGACTCGTTACAAATCATTAAATGTTTGTGGTTGCGAAGGTCATTGCACCTCGGGATTCATCCTAACACATGAAAAAACAAGCGCCGCTGGTGCCACACGACAGTTACTAGTTAAGAGCGACGCAGTGTATTATTATCTCACAATCGAATAGCTCGGGCGTATTAACGCGGCCCCCATGATTTCGATACCATAACACATTATGGTAACACCAAATTAAAGGCCTGTGCCCATTGCATCGGTTATTTAAGATCTATTAATTATTTTCATATTTAGGAGGTAATAAAATCACAGGTCATTTATTATTGCCTGGTTTTAATAAGACTCATTTTTAGGCTGACTGCACACTGTCGACGGTATCATAAAATTTATTATTAATAACGCCGACGGCCCACTTGGCCTTATGAAGTGACGCTGCTTCTTGAATTAGAGGGTGTGGGTTCGATCCCTACTACTGTGTTCATCTACTGTCGCCAATATTGTGTGATCATCATAGTGTTTTTCTTGTGTCTGGGTGTTTTTTATATTTATAATATGTATTTATTTACAACAGAAAAATAAGTATGTTTATTAGTTATATAGTACCATAGTACAAGTGTTGCTTAGTTTGGGACTAGAACACGTAAAGAGGTGTCCTAAAATCCATTATTTGAGACAAATTCTCGACTAGAACTTCTGCCATACTACTAATATTTCCAGCATAAAGAATAATAAAGACAAAAAACTTTAGGCAAGAAATATTTCGATTTTAATAAAGTGATTAATTTAAATACACTTAAACATTCATTATCTGCTTTGGTTCGTTTAAGCCTCCGTCATCTTTCGTAAAAATTGTAGAAAGCAATCTTTTACCTTTTCATATTAGGAAGAATATTTAATTTTAAAAGGCCAACTTTTAGGAAGTTTCGAAATCCATACTAAATCCATTCCGAATAAGAGTTGATTTTGGAACGGAGAGATGAAGCAGCGGGCATAAGCCAGCTTATGATAAAGTACGTAGTTATTTTCCTAATTTGAACATGATAGTAGTTACAGTAACCGTTAATACCAATCTTGGTACTGTATAATTTTCACATTGTTTAATAAATTGCACAGTTTCAACTTATAAAGATAATTGCATTCCTAAATGAGTTCTTAGCCGTGATTCAAAAAGTTAACCATCACTTTGTTAATATAAACTGTTTCACAGATGCTATTAACACTTTTTATTAACTGCCTGTACGTTATTTTTTTATTTCTTGTCAGCATTACGTTTATTGTTTTATTGGCAATAAAAATACTTTGAATAATGTTCTGAGACAGATTTAAAAAGATAAAATACTGAGTGTGAATATTATTATTCATACCTCTTAGTATTTCTTTTTGCTGGGATTTTTTGAATTAAGTAAAATATTATGCTATGTAAAAATTATAGCACATTCAACGGTCATTTTCATTTTAAAATCTGATGCGGTAAAGGAAGTTAAAAAAACGCCCAAAGTAACCTCCTGTAAGCGCTTAATATATACTTAGGACTATTGAAAAAGCTGTTTACTGTACTCCTCCAAAGAGAAAAAACTAATTCAGAATCTGCTTAAGTATTCCGTAATTAAACGAGCTGTAGATATCGTATGCGTTATTGATTGAAATGCTACCGTCCATGACAGTCGCATTTATCTGGCATACAATCCCATGACAAAAAACGCATAAAGCATATAAACAGGAGGAGTTAATGTCCTCGCGAAATATACGGAGTCCAGTCAAGTGAGCCATATTTCCGTCCTCAATTAGGTTTTTTGTGTAACCTTTTGCGTTGCATGAATGATATGAATATTGAACCAGTGATACGTAATTTTTTGTGGCACTGATTGGAACATTTATCGCAGCTTACAAAAGAAATTGAGTCGTCCGTGAAGGTCAATGTGTTTTATTTTTTTTGTTATGTTTACTGTTTACCTCAATATTTTCTTTTCTTCATAATATGTAGGTTAGAATAATTACTAATGAATCAAAAGTATCCGAGCAAAATATGAATATAACTAATTATTATACACATATTACTAATTGCTTTCTCTTACGTATATCATTAATTTTAGGGTAACCGTAAAAATAGTACCTGAAGGGGAAATACCGAATATAAGTAGAAATATCACGACGAATGTTAGATATATTGTCGAATTGAATGTTAGGCTCATTTTTATTTTCTCCGTATATAAACATTTTTTATGAAAATAATATGCGTGGGTGGTAAAATTCTTCGCCACATTAAAGACGAAAAATTGAATATGACCAATTTATGTATTACTGTCAAATAACACAATTTTTAGGACCACATTTTTTTGGGTGTGATTATTATAAACATGTCGCGAGTTTATAGAATTCACGATGTTTGCTAAATGTTTACTAGCTGGATCAATGGTTTCAAGGAAAACATTCATGGGGGTTAAAAGGAT